TCAAAAAGTTATGGCATGAAACTTTGAAATCATTGTGAAAGATACCTACATATTATCTAGTCCAATCCCCTCTCTTTTCAGAACATAAAATGAAGCCAAAATAATATTTTATTTATTAAGTTGCTGGTGGGGACACATGATTTGTTTTATTATGCTCTCTTCTACCTTACACGGACACTAAATACATTCTTTTGTGTAAGAAGTATTTTGTAAATGGGAAGGAAGGAGGAAAGGGAAAAGACAAAATAAGAACAGGGCCAGGAAGATGGAGTCCCCCAGCCAGGAGCCAAAGTAGCAAGTGTGGGAGCTGGGAGCAGATTCTCAGAGCTCTAGGCAAGCTGTTTTATTATACTGTACGGCCTCTTGACCCAAGTTAAGCTACAATTTTCTCTGTCTACCTACCATCTAATCACCCAAAGTTCTATCAAATAAAATTACCAGTCCAGTTGGAAATTTATCAAAAGACATTATTAACACCACTCAGAGAATTAAAGTCAGAAAGCAAGCTACACTTACTCAAAAGAATGCCCAGTTATGTAAGAAAGTAAACCTATCAGAAAGTCTTTAGCCAAGGCATAAGACCAATAGCAAGTAAAATGGAGCTTTAGCAATACAAATGTTTAAGAAACATCAATTCCAAAGAGCACCTGCACCCCTATGTTTATAGCAGCACTGTTTACAATAGCTAAGCTTTGGAAACAGCCCAAATGCCCAAAAGTAGATTACTGGATCAAGAAGATGTGGTACATATATACCATGGAATATTACTCAGCATTCAAAAAAGATAAACACATGCAATTTGCAGCAACATGGATGGCGCTGGAAGGGATCATGCTCAGCGAAATAAGCCAAAAAGAAAAAGAAAAATACCGGATGGTCTCACTCATAGCAGGAATCTAGAAAACTTAAATAAGGGACCAGGAAAATGAATATAAGAAAGTGAAAATCAAAATCAACAAAAAACTATGAACCAGAGACACTTTTGGGGGTGGGGGGCGGAGGGGAAGGATTGGGGTCAGAATGGGGCGTTTGCAATTGTATGGGGGAATATAAAAATAAAATTTAAGATAAAAAAAAAAATAAAAAAAAATAAAGTTAGCCCACATCAAATCTCCATAAATAAACATGAAAACCAAATATGTGCTGCACAGCCTTTTCATTTATTTCACATAAACAACGGCTATTGAGTCCCAGCGATGTGGGAATGATAGATAACATAATGGTAGAAAGGTCACAGACAGAGACCATGCTACCTGGACACAATCATAGCTTCACTGGGAAAATGATGAGTAACTTTAAGCAATTTACCTATCTTTTCCATATTTTGGTTTTCTCTTCTATTAAATCAAGGTCTTATTAGAAAAACCTAGGAAGGAGCTGCTAAGATCCTTTCATTCTGACTCTATGAAAAGAGCCTAGTCTACATATTGAGAGATCTACAAATAGTTAATGAAGTCCAAAACCCACTTCAAAACACCAGCATCCCCGTTATTTTGCCACACATGTTCCATGCCACACTTACTCTGTGCCGCACATATTGTAAAAGATTCTAAATAAGTATTCTTCAAAATAAGCTGGGCATCAGATTACTCCTAAGAATATTATAAAACTCAAATTCCTAGGATCCAGCTGAGTTGGGTGTAGAGGGGTCCTTCGAAGATGAACATTTTTATAAAGCTCCCCTAAATTACCTGAAGTATATAGTCAGGTTCAAATATCATCTCCACCTTGAGCAATTCAATGACCCAAGATCTTTTAGAACCAGGAATATAAAAAAGGTTAAGAAAGGGTGATTTCATGAATAATTAAGGTTTTCTTTTAAATAGATTTTTAATGTGACCAATACATTTTTCATACACACCTCCAATCCAAAATGTGAATATGAAAGATGGAAAACTAAATTAGAAAGTCTGCTCAAGACAATAAATAAATCATGCCTTGGGAAAGTACAACTTCTCACAGTTAATGACATGGGAAACATGAAAAGAGAATGAAAAGTATTCTGAAAAGTGTGGGTTTAGGAAACCTACCCATCATTACTCATAAGTCAGAAGGTTACCATCCTAAATGGCATTTTAAAGTCATAACAGCATTATGGACACCATCATCCCACTTATTACTCAGAAGTTTACCCAAAAGTTCCATTTCTCTAGATTTGGCTTTTTAAATGTCAGCATCTGAATCAACACAACACAGTCCAAGCAAAAATTTCACATTGAAAACAAGAGAAAGAAACAACCAACATGAAAACACAATTTGTGTAATATTTAAAAGTCAATTTTACTTGTAGACATCTGAACATCTATAAGAGTTTTGGTCATATAGCTATGACCTTGAATAAATCATTGCACAAGAGGACTTCTATACAAAATATTTAGAATTGACCTGGGTTTCAAGACTTGAACTTTACTGACTTCTTGAGGATAATGTCCTGCAGTAGGTCAGTCCTGGTTGTGGCCAAAAGCATTAGGAATAGGGAACTAGGTAATGGTAGGTAAACATCCCATGATTCAAACACAACCATGGCTCTAGCTAGTCAAATTAACTGGCTTAAATGATTCCAGGTCCTGAGCTCATATTGGACAATAATTGTACCTTCTCTCTTCTAACAGATTGAATACATGGGAATTAACTACATAGCAAATAACACAAACATATACATACCCCCCACACAAATTTGTTATGAGGGAGCAAATCTATTTCCAATATAGAAAACAAATGGCTAGTGGTCATTTCTCTACAGACCTACAACTAACAATTTGGTTACTAAATAAAATCAAAAAAGTATTCCCTGCTATTGCCTGAAAAATAAAAATCAAGTTCCCATAAACTTGTAGGAAGTTTTTCCTTTCAACATAATGCCAAACATCCTAGTGGTGTTTGGATTGTCTGACCTTTACATTTCTTATTAACCTTTAATAATCCATGGATTTGTAATCTCCTGAATAATATAAAAACATTTGTATTGTTTTTCTGTGTCTTAAGAAAAAGGCAACTTGCTATATAAATGAACATTAGCCATCTTATTAACAGCACCAACAATTATACATTTTATAATTTATTTCCCTTCCAAGTAGCACTGTCTCTACAAGACCTAAAGATAAAAGAACATGAAGTGCTCATTATGCACACGTCCACGCCATCCACGCTGAGCAGGATGCCAAATGTCTTATTTACCTTCTATAAATGAAGCTTCACAGCAACTCAGTAAAGAGGTACTATCCTTCTTCCCACCTTTTTTTCCTTGTTATAGATTTTAAAAAACAGACTCATAGAAGTTCAATAGCTGATTCAAGGCTGCATGGCTAGAAAGTGGGAGTTTCTATTTCAACCCAAATCTGAACCCAAAGTCCATGTTCCTATGAACTCGGCACAGTGTCTCCCAGTTTTGAGTGGATGAAGATGAAAATCATGAATAAATGCCTTCCTATTATTCGGTATGCCTCACCTATTAGTTGTCCCCATTAACCTATTTTTTTCTTTCCTACAACTTAATAAGCATCTATTTTCAAGATGAGTTATCTAACCATCTCTTGCAAAGGATTAATGAATTTGGGACTCAGAAAATGAATAGTTTGAGAGTTCTATTTTTGCAAGGAAAAGAGAAAAATTCACCATATTGATCATCCAGGAATATCTAGCTCAACATTGCCCATATGACTAACACAGATCAAGCATAGGCTTGCAGAACACATAGACCCTAGCAGACAACTCAGAGTTAGCAAAATCAATCAACATTAACTCATTTTCTTATTAATATATAATATAGTTAGGTTAAATTTTCACAAAAATGCCAACATTGAAAAGGTATGTAAAAAGCACCGTTTTCTTCCTGATATTCAACATGTACACAACTAAAACTTATGCACCATATTTTCCTCCTTTAAAATGCATTTTTCTAAATGTGTCCAGTTGAATTAGTAGCATCATGCCTTTTTATCACCCAAGGTCAAAGACCCAGTCATCTTTGATTCTACCTTCACTTCCTAATTTCATTTCCATGCAATTTCCAAGTCATTTTTAATTCAGATTCTTTAATCCCTCTGCTCAGGTGCCTCTGTTTTTATGGGTATTCCCTCTACTAGATTAACATCCTCCTTACTTTTCTCACAGAGGCAGAAACACTGACACCCCCTCACCCCCACCCCACGCCGCCCAGAGTCTCCAATCTGTCCTGGGAACAATACATTTGACACAAGGGGGTAAGAATCCCCAAGAAATTTTGTTTCTACCACTCCCGGCACAAATGCTTTTCATTATATTGCCTGTAGTTGAACATTCTAAAATCTGACTCCATGCAGTCACTCTTCCCAAAATCTTACCTCTATTTACTCCTAGTATTTCTTTCTATGCCCAAGATAACAGGCTCAGGTTGTTGCTCTTCTCTTTCTTCAGCTCTTTGCCTTTGCAGGATACATCTCTCCTGCAATGTTGTTCTTTCTGCTTTTCACATAAAGCAGTCCTACTGATCCTTTAAAATGGGGTTCAGAGACATCAGGTGGGAAATAATCTAAGGTGGGAAATTAGCTGAGTTGGGAAGCATTCCGCACTTACGTAACACTTCCTTCATGTCACTTTTGGAAATTATCACTGTCTCTATTGCAGCCATGTGTGTGTATCTTATGTCTCCTGCTGACAGTGAGCATCTAGTACACCAGAGCTTGTGTACACCGTGGGCCTAGAGAACATTCGATTCATAAATGTTACGCTAAGGCCTTTACACCACAAGAGATACCCCTAGGCAGAGTCTGTCTCCATCTATATTAGTTAGGCAGTCTTTAAAGAAAATTAAACCACATGATCTTATTCAAGTGTTCAATACTAAATATGGCAAAAGCAAACTTCCTTGAATTTTAGCACCAGAGAATAAGAACATAAGAGAAGAACATGATTTTCATTTAGAAGTCAAGGAAGAATACCTGTGTTGAGCTGTCAACCATCAGTCAGCCCTACACAGATCACAAGCACACACACTGGCAGCCTTGAATCAGATGCCTTACTTTGCGGTAGACTATCATGTTCGGAGAATTGTCCTCTGGGTCAGCCGTCCCCACCGCTTTCGGTTCCCCGGGTCCCTGAGCCATCCTCAGTATCTTCACTCACCCTGCAAAAATAAATGAATAGACCATTAAGACATGAAAAAATTAAAGAAAGTTTTGAAATGCAGCGAACTAAGTATCTTTTTGCAGGTGGCATGAAAACAAAACATGATGTCATTTCTTATTTCTCCTCATTAATTTAGGCAGCATTTTAAAAAGTTAGAAAATGATTATGGTGTTATTGACATACATCTTCTTAATCTCAAAGCCACATGTTCTTTGTTTTGTGGTCAGTAACATGCACCTTAGGGGTAATCGTATGCGAGTCCTAAAGAATCTCCTGCACACTGATGAACCAATCATTTTGATGCTGATTTTTATCTTATCAAAGTTCATTTTTTGATTAATTCTATGCATTAAGATACGAATAATTTATCAGAAGATAGCACATTATATTCAGTGGGATGGTTATAATAATGTTTTAAAACTCAAATAACAAGCATTGGCAAGGATGGAGAAATCAGAATCCTGGTATACTGTTGGCAAGAATGTAAGATGGTATAGTCACCAAAGAAAACAAGTTTAGTGTCTATTCAAAAAGTTAAACACACAGAATTACCATGTCCTGGCAATTCCAATACTAAGCATATTCCCAAAAGTGTATACTAAAAACAGGTATTTGAACAAATAGTTGAATGTGGATGGCCATAGCAGCACTATTCACCAAAGTCAAAAGATGGAAACAATTCAATGACCATCAAATTATGAACAAAATATGATCTATCCTCATAATGGAATATAATTCAGCCCTAAGAAATAACACACGATACATACTACATTATAGATTAACTTGGAAAAAATACACTAACTTAAAGAGAGCAGACACAAAAGGTAATTGCAATGGACTGAATATTTATGTCCTGTCAAAATTTATATGATGGTATTAGGAGGTGAAATTTTGGGAGGTAATTAGTGCCCTAAAAGAGTTCAGAGAGCTCCATTCTGCCAGGTGGGGACCAATGAGAAGGTCACTTATAAGCAAGAAAGCAGGTCCTCACCAGCCACCAAATCTGCCTTTATCTGAGACTCCAACTCTCCAACCTCCAGAACCAAGACAATAAATTTCTGTTGCTCACAAACCACCCATTCTGGAGTGTTTCATTATAGCATTTCTGATAGAGTATGATAGCATGTGTTGTATAATTAGCATGCATTGTATGATGACAATCATACTGTATTATTTCACTTATATGAAATCATCTAGAATAGGCAAATCCATAGCAATGGAAAGCAGATTGGTAGTTACCAACAGCTTGTAGGAGGAGGGGATGGGATGACTGTATAATGGAGATGGGGTCTCCTTTGGGGGTGATGAAAGTATTTTTTAACTACATAGAGGTGATGAGTGCAGAGCAGTGTGAATGCATTAAATGCCACTGAAATGCACACTTTAATGGTTAATTTTATGTTATGTCCATTTTACGTCCATGAGGAAAAAAGATTATTTTTAATTTGACCTTTTCAAAAGCCTAAAAAGATAACAAGAGACAATGACAGCATGTGGAATTTTTGAGTAAAGAAGCAAGTTCAATTCTTGCTGTGACACTATGTGTGCCATATGACCTCAAGCAATTTAAAAAACCTCTCCACACCAAGATTTGAACTTTCTTCTTTTAAAACGAACATGTTGTATGCCTGCTACATGCTCAGGACCATGACAAGGCACCTTCCTCTACATCACTCTCATCAGCAAAGGTGAATTCCACTGAGTCCTCACAGGTCAGGATCAAACAGCTGAGTGTAAAAGTATCATATAAAGCCATAAAAGTCCTACACAAATGTTATCACTAATCTAAGAGCCTGCCTGGGTTATTTGCACAAAACTCACAGGCTTTTCATCAAAGAAACTTTTATAAATACCATACTTGACAGAAAAGGCCATTTCAATTTAAAATAAAAACTCAGTAAACATTTTATCAGAAAATAAGTTGGTACCAAAGGTCATTTCATAAAAAGAAATTTGGGTGGAAGATGGGGAAGAGACAAGAATCTGAAGTTTATACTAATCATTTAATTGCTGTGTTTATAGCAGCACTATTTACAATAGCGAAGCTATGGAAACAACCCAAATGCCCAAAAGTAGATGACTGGATCAAGAAGATGTGGTCCATATACACAATGGAATATTACTCAGCAATCAAAAAAAGATAAACTCATGCAATTTGCAACAACATGGATGGAGCTGGAAGGGATCATGTTCAGCGAAATAAGCCAGAAAGAAAAAGAAAAATATCGGATGATCTCACTCATAGGAATTTAGAAAACCTAAATAAGGGACCAGGAAAAAGACTAATTATAATAAAGAAAAATCAAAATCAACAAGCAACTATAAACCAGAGACACACTAATGGGGAGGAAGGGAGAGGGAGAAGAGGAGAGATCAGGGTCAAAATAAGGGGGGTGGGAACTGTACAGGGAATATAACCAAAATGAAAATGCATACACTGTGCAAAAATGAAAAATGATGTAAGAATTATATAAAATAAAATAAAATATTAAAAAAATAATAATAATTGTCCAAAATATCCATTCGAATAATGTCTCTTGCTTTCTTTATCCTTTATAAATTGCAATGCATCTTAAAAGTTAGATTACAAGAAGAGATAAAGAACATCATTCTGTTATCTGTACACATCATAATATGGGAATTTCTATGCATAAAGCACTACATGGAAACATATTATTATTCTAACCAGTGACTTTTAAAAGAAAATGAACAACATACTGCTTCATTTTAAACTACTTATTTGCCTACTCTTTTGCCTCATACAGAGTATGACAGAGCATGAAAAACAAAAATTGAGTCCATTTATGTATGCTCATTTATCTATGTAACAGAGTCATTTCTGAGTTTCTATTGCTTTATTTTAAAATGAACACGTTCACTTTAATGAGCACATTATCTTCCACCTAGAAAACGCTGTTATAATAGCATGGCTGGAAATGACCTAGAAACAATCATGTCAGCCCTCCCTTCGCCTTCCCCTGGCCACCCACCTTGCACCCCCACAACAGAAACATTTCTCTGTTAAACAGGCTGAGGTTCCATCTGGACTTTAGACTGGTAAGTGAATACAGGTAGTCTCTATGTTAAGAATTTAGTGAATCTAGTCTGTGGTAGAAAAGTTTGTATTTTTGGTTCTGTCAACTCCTTTGAAACTCAGACAAGTCCTTTAACTTTTCTATGTCTACAAAGAATCATTCCTAAATCATGATGAAATCACTTTTTAGGCCATATGTCAACAAATGTTAGAAAGAACTAGATGCCAAACCTACAAAGGCAAGGGTGTTCTAATTAAATTCATTCACTGCAAAGTTGGGGCTCATGAAATTAAAGGAATAAATTTTCATATTACAATATAGTATGAAATATTTATTTTTAAATTAAGTACTAGAGAGGGAGGTTGAGTGCAGGAGGTTGAGTGCAGCACTGTGAAGCTGTCTGCAGCCTCTGCAGCGCCGGTTCCACCCCCGCCAGCTGCAGAGCAGCCCACAAGGCGTGGCAGACCTCTCCTGTCTCGCCTGCTGCTCCCCTCAGCAGTGTATTTCAGTCAGTCTGCCTGTTCTGTTCCCCACTCTGTCTCTGGTGAATACTCTCAGCCCCGCCCCAACATCTGACCTGTACCCTGGTTCTTATATTAATAAAATTTTAAAAATCTTTTATAAAAAATAGATTAAGTACTAGAGAAATAAAAGGGTAGCAGTTTAAACTTAGCAGTAGAGAAAAATAAAAACTTCCTGGTATTTATATATACTATATGTGCATAAATACAAAGTAAATAATTCAGGGACTTTTGTTTCAATATTTGGAGGATGTGAGTGCTTTCCTGAAAAGATATAACAACAGTGCAGTAGAAAGAACACATGTTAATAATAATGTCTTCCTATAATTGTTTAGCACTGGCACTAGGACAACTGAAATTTGTTAAGACCATGCATTTTACAATCTCTGAGACAAGACAGCTTCATCGTTATAACCTGGCCTCTGTCATCAGGCAAATGTATGCCCGAATCCTGGCCCCACCACTTACTCTGTGATTTGGGGCAGGACACTTCACCTCTCTATGCTTCTGCTTCTGTATCTGTCACAAAGCACAGTCCCGACATAGGAGACGGTCCTCTGAATGGGGAGAACTAGCATTTCCACCTGATCTGCCACTAGTTGTCAGAACCAAGTCAACTTTCTCTGGACCACATTAGGACATGAGCTATAAACCCAGCATCCTTAGTGTTCCCTCTAGCTCTGACCTAAAATCCCAGAACTTCAAATTTCTACCTTTCCTTCAAAGACTCACCAGAATGTCCTATGCCACATCTCTGCCATCATCAGTGCCTATAACCTACTCTTTGCTAAACTTCTCCAAGAATCACAGAACTGTTGTTGGGAAGCCTCCCCTCCAGACTCACCAAGCCTCCCAGGAGCAATCCCTATAACACCAGCACCTGCCACTGAGTGCTGCAATACTCAACATTTATTCTTGGAGCAAAGAAGATACCTTCATCCCTCAATCTCTGGCACTTACAACAGAACCTGAGACAGTAGGTACTCAAATATTTTTTTTAATGAATGATAGAACTGATGAGATTCCACCAAGGTCCAGTACTCTCCTTCTGGAGCATACATGTGGATAACAAGCCATTAAACTGCCCAGCGCCTGCACCCACACCACCCTGAATTCACCCCATCTCACCTAAAACTGCTCAAGAAAGAGGTTGTCAACCAAGACCCACCCATGAAGGGTCCTGGTCTCTGGACTCACACATGAAGATGTTCCCCAGGATGTATCAAGACAGGCCACCCCTACGCTCAGGAACACACTTTTGGAATCCATGAGCAATTTAAAGTAAGGAGTATGTGGGCGGGTAGAAGATGTAGTGAGGACAGACCCTTGTGAACAACGGCACAATCAAGCATTTATGACTCAAGCTCTGAGTAGTAAACCTTTTGAAAGTCAAGAATGCAATTTACTCCAAACTTACACTACATTTGTAGCTTGCAGTTACA